GGCGATAGTTTTTCAGCAACCTGGTTAGATGTTTATTTCACCTAATTCCATTTTATCACCCATCCCCACCTATCCACATACACACAACTTCTATAGTTGCTCTATTTTAGAAAAAAATATGTTAGAGCAAAATTTCACAAAGAATTGTTTGAGATAGGAATTAATTTTATACTGCAATTCGTGCACTGTAGACCTTTTGACATACAGAATTATTCATTTTAGACCTCTTGAGATTTCTTCTATGTGAGCAGTATTTCTATTGATACCTCCACTTTAGTTAAGAGTTTTCCCCCAACTTTGTTTTGCAATCATTTAAATTTCATCTAATTACGGGAAAAACTGTGACTAGAATACTGCAAGAAACATTCTATTAAAATCAACTAGACTTCATTTTCATTTTATTGTAAGTAGAAAATAAATAAATTCCCATTTGTCAAGAAAGCAATCCAAAGTGCAGGTATTAAAAAAGCTTTTTGTTAATGAGTGTTAAACACTTAAATTGTTAATACAGTTAGTTAATTAGGTGAGTTTTTTTCCATAGAAACTAACATGGTCATTTTACACTGTAAAATAGGGGTAAAAGCAAAAGAGTAATATAATTATACTAGAATTATCCTTTTATAGGAGTTTTCCTTTGTTTAATTTTTTTAAGTAAGAGTTTATTCTAAATTCATTTTTAGCTCATTTCAAGGTTCCAGTGCCAAAATGCTATAAAAATTAGTATTGTCTTACAATTTTTATTGATATTTTTCTTCTTGTCTTAACTTTTCTGCTCTGGCACTGTCAGATCCCTTAGCTGTACTTTACCTGTCTGAATGGGATGGGGCTATTGGAGTGAGAGATTGTGCATACAAAATAATTTTAGTAAGAAAACTAAGGACTCTGAAAAATATCTTTATATCAAGAGTTGTAATCAACTGAAGATTTAGAAACAACTGTTACACCTTTTTATACCCTACCTACTAAAGTATAGTATTAGTTCCTAGAGGGCAGAAAAGTGATGTCTACTAATAGGCTCCTTTCTGTGCTAGCTAGTTTAATGTCAACTTAACACAAATTTAGTGTCATTTAGGAAGAGAAATCTTAGTTGAGAAATGCCCCTGTAGGATTGGCCTGTACACAAGTCTGGAGCATTTTCTTGTTTGATAATTGATGTGGGCAGGCCCCATCCCCAAAGGGGCTCTGCCACCCCTTGGCAGGTGGTCCTGAGTTATATAAGAAAACAGCCATGCAGGCCAGTAAGCAACATTTTTTTCATGACCTCTGCATCAGTTCCTGCCCTGACTTCCTTGGACTACTACGAACTATAAGATGAAATAAGCCCTTTCTTCCCCAAGTTGCTTTTGGTCAGTGTCTTATCATATCAGTAGAAAACTCTAAGACGCTTCTTAGTAATCTTAGAAGAAATGATATTTCACTTGAATGTGAAAGAATAATTGATATATATAATCAGAGTAACACTGATGATATTATAGGCATGGAGGTCACTACAAAAATGTAGGTACTGATGCATTTGAACTCTGTCAACTAAAATAAACTGATATTTGGACCCAAACACAAGACAGGTGGGTATTATTTGATGACTAAAATCCTTAATATTAATTTAAAAAATCAAATCATCCCTATACTCAGCCATTGTAAAGCAGCTATTATGTCATAGATTTTATAGATTAGGAATTAGCTAGATGGTTCTGGTTACTAGATTAGCTATACATAACAATACTATAACTATACATTTCACAAAGCTAGAAGGCATTATTTTGAGTCAGTTGTGGTGCTGTTTGCCTCTAATCCCAACATTCTTGGGGATGAAGCAACAGTATTGTGAGATTGAACTATTCTGGGGTACCTAGTAAGAATCTTTCTTGAACATCTAAAGAAGCCCTCTACCTCTAAAAAACAAAAGAGAAACAGGAGCAGGGAAGAGGAGAAGAATACAGCCGGCAGAAGAAGAGGGAAAGATGAGGAAGGATTTTGAAATGTTTTGCCATAAAGACATGGTAAATATTTGAGATCTATGTATGGTCTGATTTAAATGTTATCCAATACGTATACCTACTGAAGCAGCACATTACCTCATTAATAATTACAATTTAACTTTTCAATTTATCTGTCAAAATTTAACTTAAAAATTACAAGACGTTTTTCAAACACATTCCTCTGGCTGAAGTTGAAAGATCTTTTTCTAAAATAGCTTAAGGGGTGGCGAAGGCCTCAATTGCTCATTCCATGGATCTCCTTATAGGGTACCTTGAATGCTATCAATATGACAAGTGGTTTCCCCACTTAACCACATATATCTTTTTTGACTTGTTTTCTGGAATCAAAACTTCATTTTAACCATTTTCATCACTGGTGTGTTACTTAGGGTACCCATACTCAAGAAAAGATAAATATCCATCAAAGAGACCATTAAAAAATTTGTGGACATACTTTGAAAACATCACAAAAGCGTTGAAGGGTGACTCAGTATATATAAGAGTTTGGCACACAAGCCTGAGGATCCCAGCACTCACTGAAAAGAAACCTGCTTGGGGGCTGGAGAGTTGGCTCAGTGGTTAAGAGTACTGACTGTTCTTCCAGAGGTCCTGAGTTCAATTCCCAGCAACCACATGGTGATTCACAACCATCTATAATGGGATCTGGTGCCCTCTTCTGGCCTGCAGGCATATATGCAGGCAGAACGCTGTATACATAATAAATAAATAAAGTCTTAAAAAAAAAAAAAAGAAAGAAAAGAAAAGAAAAGAAAAGAAACCTGCTTGGCTACACTTGAGAGACTGAGGCAGAAAGATTGTCATGAGTTTGTGAACCATAGAATAAGAATACTATGAGATTTTGCCTAAAAAGAGACAAATAATTTATCTGAGTGTGGTGACACACACCTAGAACTCAGTGGTTGCAGGAATATTGGAAAAAATAAACAAGGAAAAGTGCCTTAATACTAAGTTATAGCTGAGTTTTACTGCTGATTTTAATGAGAAGTGTGTCTTGTTTTTGTTTTGTTTGTTTAGTTTTGTTTTTGAGACAGGGTTTCTCTGTGTAACAGTTCTGGTGTCTGGGAACTTACTCTGTAGACCAGGCTGGCCTCAAACTCACAGAGATATAGCTGTCTCTGCCTCCCAAGTACTGGAATTAAAGTTGTACATTTCAGCCACCAGGCTTGAGAAGTGTGTCTTGTTAAAGAATTAAAATTACTTAAACATATAGTGAGAAAAACTAAAATTTGATTGAACTCCAAAAGATTTAGTATTCACATTATTTTCTCATATATGTGTGTGTATAATATATATATATATTACTTTTTTTTATTTCAGACAGTGTCTCTATGTAGACCTGGTTGCCCTAGCATTCACTTTGTTGACCAGGTTAGCTTCAAACTTAGAGATCCACCTACCTCTGCCTGTTGAGTACTAAGATTAAATGTGTGCACCACCTCACCCCACTCATATATTTTTTAAAGTTAGGGCTAATAACCTGGTGAGAAAAAAGGAAATTAATACCTTTTTTTGAGAAATTCCCTTGGAGTAGGAAAATCATCCCAGAACAAACACACTGAATGCATGTTTGTAGAATTATGAAATTTATGGGTTTTCTGCTACTATTTCATATTGTAACTAAAGTTGATGATTCTCCATTGTTCAGCCTAAAACATAATTAACTAATGATGAAAGACCTGTGATTTGAATGAAATGGTAAAATTAGTTTTATAGAAGTACAAGCTAAACTACACATTTCCTTAATTCTCAATAAATGTCTCAAAGGCTTTTGGTTTTGTAAATTATTTTACATTTTCACTTTTTGTCCTGTGTCGGGGTGGGTGCAGTGCCCACAAAGGCCAGAAGGAGGCATCCCAATCTCCTGGAATTTGTACAGTTTCAGATAGTTGTGAAACTCCCTGTAAATGTTAGAAGTCAAACCAGGATGTTCTCTGGAAAAGCAGATGATGCCATCTCTCCAGCCCTTATTATGCAGTTCCAAATAATTGGCTTCAACATGATTTTAACTTGTTAAATATGTAAACTAGGTTTTGGCTGTCATAAAAATTAATTTTTTTCAATTCTTTAAAGATCATGCAAGCTGGTGGTGGTGCACACCTTTAGTCTCAGAACTAGAGAGGCAGAGACAGGTGGATCTCTTAGAGTTCAAGGACAAACAAGGCTACACAAAGAAACCCTGTCTCAACCCCCCCCCCCAAAAAAAAAGATTGTGCAAGCTTATAATAGTTCATCATTGTTTAGAGAAATAATTTTTGAACTCTATATTGACACATTGTCTTTTTTCTCACAATTTGACAGTAGTTGTGATAGTGTCAGAAATATCTAACTGCCATTGCTTGCATTAGTGCTGAATATGGTGGGTTTTTATGATACTTGTGGTTAATAATTTCTATTTTTATAAAAATAATTGAACAAGATATTTATGTTGGAGACCTTTTGCAATGCGGGTATAAAATAGTATTCATAATATTTTTATTGGGCTGGTGAGGTGCCTTGCTGGATAAAGGTGCTTGAGGCCAAACCTACCAACCTGAGTTCAGGCCCTAGGCCCTATGTCAGAGTGAGAAAACTGACACTTTTAAGTTGACCTCTTGCCTCCACACTCATGCTATAGCATATGTGCGGCCCCTATAAAAGTAAATTAAGTAAAGGCAATTTTTAAAATTCTAAGGAAATATTTATATTGGATTTTAAAGGTAACCCAGTTAATACACAGCTTTCCTGGCATTCACAAAGCCCTAGGTTCACTCTTAAGCACTGAGTAAAACCACAGGTGATCATAAAACTTGTTTGTAATCCCTGCACTTGGGAGGTGAAGGCGTGAAAATCAGAGGTTCAAGGCCATCCTCGGCTACATAGCAATTTTAAGTCCAGTCTTCTTAACATGAGACCCTATCTTAACAAAGGAAAGAATATAATTTATGTTTGTTGAAAATTAGTTGGGATACATTCCAGCTCTCGGTATAATTCAGAGGTTTCTCTTCCCCTGCCCCCATCCAGTGACGCAATTGCCGAGATTCGAGCCATCTGTATTGAAGAAATTGGAGTATGGATGAAAATGTATAGTGATGCCTTCCTAAATGACAGTTACCTGAAATATGTAGGATGGACTCTTCATGATAGGGTAAGTTGATATCTTTTATCTTTGATGGAAGAAGTATTTGTCTCCATACTGGTATGACAGCAATCAAAATTGCAGTGGCTTATTTTTTTAAGAGACATAATAATATGAAATTTAAGATAATACAAATAATTATCAATCACCATTCTAAAATTGAAGACAGCACTTTATGTGTCTTCCTTGGATGCAGTGCTATTCTTGAATTCATATTGAGAACCTGGTGTGTCTGTAATTACAAGAGAATATATGCAGTACTACCAAGAAGGCAATAGTCTCCTAATCAAGGATCAAAGGTGAATAGTTGTAATAAAAATTAAGTAAGCTTTCTTGGTTGTAATTCTGTTGGGTTATATTCCAGTATGACTTTTTAAGTCAGAGTTAAAGCGAATATGTTAGATCCCTTGAGTTAAGCCCATTTTAGATTGATCGATCTCTACCTTTTTAGAAAAAGATTGCGCTTTAAAAGAAATCCTATGTCATTGATTCCTACATGAGAAATCCTCAAAATAAGTTTGTTTTAAATTGCTGTATTTTCTTTGAATTGTTTAAGATACAACTATTGAGGGCTGGAGAGGTGGCTCAATGGTTAAGAGCACCAACTGCTCTTCCAGAGGACTCGGGTTCAAGTCCCAGCACCCACATGGCAGCTAACAACTGTCTATAACTCCAATATCTGACATCCTCACATAGACGTACATGCAGGCCAATGCACATAAAATAAAAATAAATTATTAAAAAAAGATAAAACTATTGGAATATTTTAAAAATATTATTACATTTGTAGGTCTAAAGAGGAATTTGGTAATAATAGGTAAAAGCTTCTTTTCTGTGTCTTATGCCTGTCAGTGTTTACTATAAAAATACAGAGTAAGTAAGGAATACTGGTGATATGGCTCAGCAAGTAAAGGTGCTTGCTGCACCATCCTGGCAACCTGAGTTCCATAAAGTCGTACTGTGGCTCACACACAGACATTACACATGTGCATGTATAAACACAAATTAATAATAAACATTAAAAAATTTAGTATTATAGATGTTGAAAATTCCCAACATCATTACAATTATCATTAAGAGTTTTGTGGTCTGCCGGACGGTGGTGGCACACGCCTTTAATCCCAGCACTCGGGAGGCAGAGGCAGGCGGATCTCTGTGAGTTCAAGGCCAGCCTGGGCTACCAAGTGAGTCCCAGGAAAGGCGCAAAACTACACAGAGAAACCCTGTCTCGAAAAATCAAAAAAAAAAAAAAAAAGAGTTTTGTGGTCCATTTTTGCTCTTAGAAGTCTTGAATGTGTATAGACATTATCACAGCTTGGTTGCTTAACATACAGATTTTTAGTTACTAAAACATGTTTTCCCCCTCACTCCCATCTCAATACCACATTCAAAGGATGTTATGGGTTTTTTTCCCCCTGAATCCAGATCTTCTCTCAAAAATGTAATCTCAAACTGGATTACCTGTTTGTTTGTTTATTTGTTTGTTTTTCATGTGTAATCTTCATATGAATTTAGACCTTTCTATTTAAGCCCACTTTAGATTGATTTATGAAAATTTTGTTAGTTTGAGATAATGTAGAATTGCACAGTACCCTCACATGAATGTATTAATATACTCTCAAAGTAAACAAGTCAGTCATCAGTCTTTATAGAAATTTTTAAGAATGAATTTAAATCTCAGTGCTTGTATTCTCTCTCACTTTCATCTCAGTTCTTCCTCTGATCCCCCAAGGGAGTATTTTTTCTACATTTACATAACACTTAACAGTTTTATCTCATCTTTATAAATGACAACCAATTCTGGGAAGATATTAATTTGATGTTGCTTACTGTAAAACAGTCATCAGTTTTTCAGTTAAATATTTTTATTTTCTTTTATGTATATGGGAACTTTGCCTGCATGTATCTGTTGGCGTCTTGTGCATACCTGGTGCCTTAGGAGGTCATAATAGTGTCAGTTCCCCTAGGACTGGAGTTATTGATGTTTGTAAGCTGCCATGTGGGTGCTAGGACTCCAACGAAGGTCACTTTAAGAGCATTATGCACTCTAAGAAGCAAGACAAACCCATGGAGCCCTGCCCTTTTCTAAATGGAGACTAGGAGAAATGGAAGGAGAGTGGGGTGGATGGGAAGGCGGGGTCTGGAAGGAGAGGAGGGAGAAGAAACTGCAGTCCGTATGTAAAATAAATGAAAAAACAATGTTATTTAAATAAAATTTAAAAAAGAAAAAGAAACAGTACATGTGAAAGTCAACAAAAGTATTATGCACGTCAGAAGAACTTTCAAGAATTGATGCTCTCCTTTCACTGTGGGATCTGGGGATTGAACTCAGATCACCAGGCTTGTACAGGAAATGTTTTTACTGCTGAGCCATCTTGCTGCATTCTGAAAAACTTTCATTTCCAAAGAGAATTTTTCAGAAGTGTTAATAAAGAATCTATAACAAATATACACAATACTGTAGCTGTATTTACCATATTATCTTTCTGAGTTTCTTATTTCCATAATCATTAAAAATATTTATGGATCAACTAATATAAATTAGATACTGTATTGAATATAACTCAGATTTAAGTGAGGACTTGTTTGTAGTGGTCTATTCAAGTGCTTATGGTACCATAATAAAATTTGCTTTAGAGAATAGTGGTGCCTAAAATATTAAGTGCCAATGTAGCTTGAATTTTAATTGGTCTTATTAAAATCCCAGAGTCAGATATCAGGGTAAATGCTGAAAGATCAGTGAAGTAAAGTAGCCAGCCACTAGAAAGACTATGGAATCCTCAGACCAAAAAGGGTTTTGAGCTCCTATCTCCTCCTGCCTTATATTACTATCTCTACCTCCCTAGTGCTGGGATTAAAGGTGTTAGCCTCCACCACCTGGCTCTGTTTCTATTTTTGACTGGATCAATCTTGTGTAACCCAGGATGGCTCTGAACTCCAGATCTTCCTGCTTCCTCCTCCCAAGTGCTGGGATTAAAGGTGTATGCCACCACTGCCTGGCCTCTATGGTTAACTAGTGACTAGCTCCACAGTCTGATCTCCAGGCAAGCTTTATTTGTTAGAGCACAAACAAAATCTCACCACATACCAAAATTGGAATTTTCATCCTAACTAGTTATTTTACAGTTTTCTAAGTTATTAGTGGATATTTCCTAATTTAATCGGTAGTAAGTTCCTGTGGCATCCGCTAAACACTTAATAGGTGGAGTACCAAGATTTGGGAGGGGAGTTAGATAATTAAGAAATGTCACTGAGAGATATCAGTTCACAAGGTGAAAATAAACTCTATTCCTATCCTTGTTGTACTTAACTTTTTAAGTCTATGATAGGAATTTATTGTTTTTGGTTGGTTGGTTGGTTCGTTGGTTCATTGGTTCGTTGGTTTAGTTTGGGTCTTTGTTTTAAGGCTACATTTGGAAAGAAATTGGTCGTGTTACCTTAAGTTATGACTTTACATGTGGAGAACTGTGCTTGCTTCTTTGCTCATCCATTGTTGGTCTCTTTTTATTGTGTATGCACAGTACTTTTTCAGCTCTCCACCTCTCTTGCTGCTTAGAGTACTGTGTCCTATGAGCAAGTTTCATAGTTTCTCCACTGCCTTCCCTTTTAACATTGCCACCCTTTACAGTTATCGTATACTGTCTATGTCCATTTTGTGTTGTTGTGACAGAAGACCTAAAATCTGAACATCCAAGATCAAGGAACTTCCTCTGGTCAGTTCCTAATGAAGGCATTTGGACTACACCCAACATAACAAATGGTAACACTTGTAGAAGTAGATAAACAAGAGCTAGCATATTGAGGAGAAAAAAAAGAGAGAGACTCAGGAGGGTTTAGGCTTTCTTACATAGCCATCTATTCTCTCAGGTGATAATCTACTAGCTAGTAGTGGTGGCCTAGCTCCTTCAGTACCTTCAGTAGTACTACACTGGGGAGCAGGTTTCCCATAAAACTCTGGAGTTACAGCATTATTATCCAATAGTATTTCCTGACTGCCTCTAATGGTTAGATGATACCGCCTTATCTATACTGCTCTAGTCTTCATTGCTATCTCTAGAAACTGAAGTTCCCATTTTGTCCATGCTGATATTTTACCTTAGCCTGTTGAAAAAAAGAGATTTGTGCAGATCATGAAAAGGCCTTCTAACATTATATGCCTTGATTGAGGATAGCTAAAGGCAAGGTGGGAGGCGTCCTGCTTCTCCTACTAAGGGAATATGAGCCACATTTTCAGGCCCACAAATTCTAGAGAATGTTAGGAATTCAAAGTTTTCAGCTAAGTCAACTCAGCTATCCTTTAGATCTGTTTACTTTCATAACTCATTTTTCAGCATAAGAGATTTGCTCTGTGTGTAGTCTGGCATTCTTTCATTCTGCAGTTGGGTTTGGCCTTTATTATAATCAGTTCTTTATCTACAAGAAATAAGCATCTCTTTAAATTTTGTCAAAAAAGCAACTTTTGGCCTCAGCCTGTCATTTTCTTTTTCGTATTTCAGTGTCACTTAGTATCTTAGTTAGGGTTACTATTGCTGTGATAAAACACCATGACCAAATCAAGGTGGGGAGAAAATGGTTTATTTTGTGCATTCTTACTTATTACCATTCATCAAAGATGGTCAGGGCAGGAACCTAGAGGCAGGAGCTGATGAGAGGCTATGGAGGAGTGCTGTTTAATGCTTGCTCCTTACAGCTTGATCACCCTGCTTTCTTATAGAACCCAACCACAAAGTCTTTCTTTGGACTGCCAGCTCCCAAATAATGGTACACAGAGGCTTTTTATTATTTATGAAAGCTTGGCCTTAGTTTAAGCTTGTTCCCAACTAGTTCTTAAATTAACCTGTTTATATTAATCTACATTTTACCTCTCCTCAGTACCTTACATCTATATGACTTCCTCTGCATCTAACTGGTGAATCCCCTACCTCCCAGAGTCCCTATCTCTACATAGAAGTCCTGCCTGTCCTCTCCTGCTAGCTATTGGCCATCCAGTTCTTTATTAAGCCAATCAGAAGGTGTCTTAGGCAGGCAAGGAAGAACAGAGACAAATCTTCGCACAGTGTGATCAAATACCCCACAACACACCAGCCCAGGGATGGCACCCCTATAATGTGCATGGCCCTTCCATGTCAATCACTTATTAAGAAAATGCCCTACAGGCTTGCCTATAGCTCGATCTTATGGAGGCATTTTCTCAATTGATGTTTCCTCCTCTCAGATGACTTCAGCCTCTGTCAAATTGACATAAAAATTAGTCAAGTACACTTAGCATCCACCATTCAATCCTATAGTTCTTACAGTTATTGACCCTATTTTGTGAAATATTTGGATGTTGTACAGCTAGTGTGTATTGCTTTTCACCCACAGGTAAGAATATTAGCAAATACATGGCTATTCTGTATTGGTAACTGTCAACTATCACCATCTTCAAGTAATCTAGTCCAAAGTGTGATCTTAAAAGACTTATTTGGTATCTTCTCTGTTAGGCCATGTTGCCCACAAGCCAATCCTGATTTTGAGTTAGGGGTCACTTAATGAAGTTGTATTGAGACATGCATCATTTGACCATTTCATCAGTGTATGAATATATATAGTATATTTATACACAACCCAGATAATATAGATCAATTACTTTACGGGGCCTCTTGAAGTAGACTCGAACCTCAGTAAACATGAAATGTTTGAGGCTGCTGTTAGCTTACCACAGCATAGTGTGTTTTACTATAAATTTCTTAGGTATATATTCTAAAATAGTAATAAATATAGTAGATACATAAGGAAGTAATATAGTTATTTTCATTGAATATTTTATATTTTACTGAATTCTATGTGCAAAGCAGTTTGTTAACACCTTCATGACCACAAACACGTAAATAACACATTGTACTTATGTTTTGCCCCGCCTGTAGGGCTATAACGGGTTCTCGACCACCCTAAGGAGGGAATGTAGGGACAGGAGATACAAAGGAAAATACACCAAGTCTAGATTCTGATCAAGGTGTAACTTTATCTTCTCCAGAAGGGTTTATATAGTTCCTGCAGGGTGCGGGGGAGCAAGAAGCTGTCATCTACATAATGTGGGGCAAGCTAACAGGATGTTTGTATAAGATGTTTACAGGGTGAAAGGGTCAAGGGCTCTGACTCAAAGTCCTGTTGCTAGGCAACCTGACTGTAAGATGATCTAGTTCCCTGTCTTATCGGGGGTCTGTATTTTTCCACTAACTAGAGATTCTGTCCTTGTCTCTGACAATGTTTTAATGGTTTAAAATGCCCCTAGTCATTAAGACCTTTTTGGATCCATAATCATCTTATACATATTGCTGTAGATGTAACCAACCGTCTTATTAAATAAGAAACACAGAACCGGGGATTTAGCTCAGTGGTAGAGTGCTTGCCTAGCAAGCCCAAGGCTCTGGGTTCGGTCCTCAGCTTCAGAAAAAAGAAAAAAGAAAAAGAAAAGAAAGAAAGAAACACAGAACCAATGCAAAGAAGAAAGCCAAGAGATCAGAGCTAAGAGCCTTACCGCCTGCTGCAGCTAGCCTCTTAAGCCAAGAGACCTCCCCGAAAAAGACCTACTTCCTGTGTGTTTGTCTTTATAGTCTTTCTGTTCTACCTTCTCATTGGTTGTAAACCCAAACACATGACTGCCTCGTCACTGCCTGTCTGTAGAGACTTTCAGGTCTTCTGTGGTTGGTATTGAGATTAAAGGCATGTGTCTCCAATGCTGGCTGTATCCTTGAACACACAGAGATCTACCTAGCTCTGTCTACCAAGTGCTGGGATTAAAGTCGTGAGCCACCACCGCCACACTCTTGCTATGGCTCTAATAGCTCTGACCCCCAGGCAACTTTATTTATTAACATACAATTAAAATCACATTTCAGTACAAATAAAATACCACCTTGACCAAAACATCATTTTGCAGTGTGTGATTTTACTGAAGTTTGTATTCAGCTATGCCCAGTAGGAAAGTATAATAAATAAAGGAAATAAATAAAAATGTGATTTCAGAGTTGTTCTATTCTGTTTTTGTTGTTGTTTATTCCCTCCTATTCAAGGACATTCTTTTAGCATATGATTTCAAAAGGAAGATTAGGAAATAGATTGCACCTTAGACATATGGCTTAAAGGAAATAAGATTTATTTTATTCATGTGCATGTCTGTGTTTGTATGAATATTTGCCATGTATGTACATGCCTGCAGAGGCCAGAGGAGGGGGTTGGACCCCCCATAGCTAAAGTTACAGGCAATTGAGAGCTGCCTGACATGAATGTTGGGAACTGAACTCAGGTCTTCTAGAAGATCAGCAGGTGCTCTTTACCTCTGAGCCATCTCTTCAGCCCTGAGCTACACTGTTTTATCTTCAAGTCTTTGGAAACTCTTGTTACTGGTTCTTGTCTATGGTTAGTTCCCCAGAAAAGGGTACAAATGAGACCAAATATCAGCCAACAAAGACAGAGGCTAAAGACCTAGCCAGGTAAAAGAGACTGGGTGGTGCATCAGTAACATGCTGTGGATGCTTTAGGTTCCTCCTGAGCCCTTAGAGAAGAAACATCACTTTATTCAGTGATATCTAGAAATTACTTGAAAAAGCACTTGCAGTAAAGTGATATATAATCTTTGCAGATTAATTCAGTGACATTTCATTCATTTGTCCCATTAATGGCTCTGGAAGATAGTGACATTGCAAAAATCTATAAATGTAACAAATCATACCACATTCCACATAATATTTTGTTCTGACTTTCATCAGTATACTCATATATTTCATCCTTAAGAACAATTTTATAAATGCCAGAATAGTGGATGTGTGTGCCATTTCATGTGCAGCTAATAAGCTGTTGAGTTGAAAAATAAAATCTAGTTTTGTTTCATTCCAGAATGGATTGATATTGTCAAAACACATTTCTTCTTTTAGAGCATGGAAACCTCTATCTTATTTGAATTCTTTAATAGTGTTACATAGATTTCTAAATGATATTGAATGTACTCTGATCTACAACATCCTCTGCTCAAATTTAATGACTTTGTTAAGGATACTCTGCTAGGATAGAGATTTAGCTCAGTAGTAGAGTGCAATATTCTGCTAATGAATAGAGAGCATTTCTAAGACTCTTCTTTCTATAGAGTTTCTGTTTTAAGTAGGCTACTTACCTGTTTTCCTAACTACTCTCTTTTCCTGTCTGTGATGTTGAAAAGCATCCAGTAAATTTTGGTTGGATGAAGAAATCATGATCCTTTAATAGAAATTTTGTATGGATTCATTGTATAATTACAAGCAGAACAAATGAGTATGCCATTTTCTACCTATAACCATAGATTATAAATACAATGTGCCACTAAGGCAGATGGACAGAATTTCATCATCAGACATAGTTTTCAATTATTTGAAAAAGGCTTAACTCATTTGTAAGTAACCAAAAATTTTTATTGCATTTTTAATTAAATCTTGTGTTGAGCCATACTAAGGAATTGTTCATTCTCTTCCTATATTAAAGTAGGAAATAAGTTGAATAGTTAGCCTGCGATTTATTTTGTTCTTCATAGAGACTTCATTTTTTTTTTTTTACTTTTGTGGACTGGAAATGACTGTCTCATCTGTTTTTCTTTGTATTCCTGAAGCAAGGGGAAGTCAGACTGAAGTGTTTGAAAGCTCTACAAAGCTTGTATACCAATAGAGAATTATTCCCCAAATTGGAGCTATTTACAAATCGATTCAAGGTAAGTGTCAGATGATGAACTTACATTGTTTTTCTCTTTGCAAATGCTAGTTATACCTACATTAGCATATGGCATTACCATGATGTGTTTGGTTTCTATTTTTTATTATTGTTTTCTTAACATGCCAAGTATTGAGTTTCATTGTGACTTCTTTATAGATCCTTCTCCCCCAACCTTCTCTCCCATTCTTCTGCCTGCCCCCGACCCCCGACCCTCCTACTCAGTGAACTTCTTTTAGCTTTAATATCATGCATGTTCTATGCCTAACCACCTCTTCCTCAAAAGCTCTATTTCCACTCTCATGGTTCTTTTTCTAGTGCCATGACTTATGCCACATTAACCCTTTGATATACATATATAAATATTAAAATATATAGTCTACATATCAGCAAGAATATGTGTTATTTCTCTTTCTGAATCTGTTATCTTCCTTAATAATTTCAGGTCTATCCATTTTCTTGCAGATTTTCTGATTTCTCTTTCCTTTATAACTGATTAAAATTTTATTGTGTATATGTACTAAACTTTCATAACCTATCAGTTAATAGACATCTAGATTGATTCTATTTCCTTGTAGTTTTGAATAGAGTAGCAAGAAACATGGATGTATAAGTATCTTAGTAATAAGATAGTCTTTCTGATAAGTATCTGAGAAAGGACTAGCAGATTCATAATGTTCTTTTTTTCAGTTTTTGAGACCTCCATACTGATTTCCATAATGTGTGTAACAGTACATTTCTATGAACTGTGGATAAGGTCCCATATCCCCACATTCTTAACATTTATCATTTCCTTTCTTGGTGATAGCCATTTTGATTGTGATGAGGCTAAACTGTTTCCCTGATTGCTAATAGTGAATACTTTAAAAAATATATTTATTTGTTATTGTATTTCTTCTTTTAAGAGCAGTCTGTTTAGTTCATTGGCTTATTTGTTGATGGGTAATGGTGAAGTTTCAGTTTCAATTTTTATACTTCTTTTTTGGGGGTGGAGGCGTGTTGAGACAAGGTTTTTCTGTGTTAACAGTCCTCGATGTCCTGGATCTCACTTTGTACACCAGGCTGGCCTCAAACTCACTGAGATCCGTCTGCATCTGCCTCCCAAGTGCTGGGATTAAAGGTGTGCCCCACCACCGCCCGGCTTATTCTAGTTACTTACCCCTATCTAAAGTACAGCTGCCAAAGATTTTCTTCCATTCTGGAAGCTGTTTTCCTTTACTGTGAGGGAGCTTTTTAATTTCAGGTAATCATATTTGTCAATTCTTTAGACTGTTTGCTTTGCTACTCAGAAAATTCTTGCATAAGTCTATATCTTGAAGTGTTCTCCCCTCAGTAATTTCAGTGTTTCAGATTTTAAAATCTCTAATCCATTTTAATTAAAGAGATGAAGATCTAATTTCATACTTATGCAAGTGGATATTCTCTTTTGCCAACACCATTTGTTGAATACACTGTGTGGTTTTGTTTTGTTTTATTTGACAACTTTGTAAAATACACCTGTGTGTTGTTTCTGAGGCCTTTGGTCTGCACAGCTGTTTTTTGCCCCAATACCTTGCTGTTTTTTCACTGTCACTATGTAGTATAATTTAAAGTCAGGTATTGTGATGTCTCCAATATGGTCCTTCCTGCTTAGGATTGCATTTTATATAACATTAATTCTACCAACAAGAGGCATCTAAGGCAGTGGTTCTTAGCCTGTGGGTTGCAACCCTTTAGGGGTCAAATGACCCTTTCACAGGGATCACATAAGACCATCAGAAAACAACAGATATTTATTACTATCCATAATGATGACAAAAATCACAGTTATGAAGTAGCAACGAAAAATAGTTTTATAGTTGGGTTGTCACCACAACACGAGGAACTGTATAAAAGGGTTGCAGCGTTAGGAAGGTTGAGAACCACTGATGTTAGGTCTTTTTATCATCTAGTATCTTCAGTTTATTTCTTCAGTGTCTTAAATTTTTCTTTGTTGAGCTCTTTGACTTCATTGTTTTGGTTTGATTCCTAAGTGCTTTGGTTTGCTTTTTTTCCGTGGTGGAGTGGGCTTATATGCCATGACACAGTATGGAACTATAAAGACAACTCTTTTGACTTGGTTTTCTTCCCTTCACCTTTACATGGGTCCCAAGGATTAAACTCAGGTTGCTAAGCTTATTAAACAATGCTTTTATTGACAGAACCTTCTCATCCTCTGATCCCTTTTGAGTTTATTGTGAATGAGATCCACCCCCCACTTCTTTTCAGGAAATTACTTATTGGTATATCAATAAGTATTGGATTTTATGTTGATTTTTGTATCCTTAAATTTCACTGAATTTATCAACAATCTTTTCTGGTGACATCTATAGTGTGTTAAGCATAATATATTATCAGCAAATAGGCATATTTGACTTTTTTCCTTACAGCATTTTTTTCTTTTATATCTTGTCTTATCTTGCTTTTCCAACTAAGCCTTAAGCTCAGACTGAGTAAGAGTGAAGAAAGGAAGCGCCCTTTCTTTTCAGTGATTTTGGGAAAATGCTCTTTCCCCATCTAATATATTATTGACTGTAGCTTTGTGGTATATAGCTTTTCTTATTTTGAGGTATGCTCTTTCTAATTTCTTCGGGACTTTTGTCATGAAAAAAAATATTCAACTTTGGCAGATGCTTTTTCTACTTCTATTGAGATGATCTTGTGATTTTTTTTTATATGTCTTAAATCTGTCATGTGGTGTATTGGTCACTGATATGCATATTGTTAAAACCAGCCTTGTATCACTGGGTTGAAACCAATTTTTTGTGGTGTAGGATCTTAATGTGTTTTTTAATTTGATTTGAACATATTTTCATTTTTGTTGTTTTTGCTGTATGTTTATCTAGTTTTAATGTCAAGATAATCCTAGCTTGTAGATATGTAATGTATATCTGTTGGTTTTAATTTCCCCCTTTTCCTAGTGATTTTGTATATGTTATTTTATATGAATTTTCCTGTCAGAATGTCTTTGCTTGGATTCATGTTCAGGACAGAGGAGGCAAGAGAGTCAATTACTGTGAAAAAAAATAAAAATACAGTGGTTTGACAGCATTCCCTGAGTTAGCTGCAAGAGATACTTACTTCAAGACTTGTGTCCCATGAGGTTCAGGAATGGTTGTATCCAGTGTTAGGTTCACTGGGGTCCTTGGAAAGAAGAAACAGGTACTCTAGGATGATTTTAGCCTTCTGAGGCTACAGGGGAGTCAGCCTCTGATGAACTGACTCACTGTCGCTCTGCAAAGGGCTTTTTTATTGTTATACAATTCACACCTTTAGCAAGTCAATTCCATATACCCAAACCTTTATATAAACTCCCCAAAGAGACAATGTCAATGCGAATTCCAAAGTCACAAGACATCTCAGTTTGCTGAGTCCTCTTGGAACCAGGTTTTGCGTAGGCTTTGAACCATTAGGAAACTCTCAGATAAGATTTACATACTTTAAACAGAAGGTACCAGACACAAAAGGTAGCAGGAACAAAAGGCAGCTCAAAGCTAGGTGTCAATCTGGAATCACACCAGCTGCTGAATGCTGCAGGATCTCCCATAAGAAGGGCCTCCATGCACTACTAGGATTGGAGGAAATGTAATAAGGGTGTTTTTTGTTTTGGGGAGATTTTTTGTTTGTTTTTTGCTAAGGGGATCAATTTTAAGAAGTGAAGTGGGGAAGAAAAAGAAAGGGAAAAAACCTAACAGTGAGAAGGAAGGCACATGGATTAAAGATAGGCAAAGCAGTATAAAAAATATTCTATATTAGGATTAGAGAAAGGAAGGAGAAAACCAAAAGCTTTATCATAAAGATTCAGGTTACACATCTGAATACTTTTTAACCAAAAAAGGAAGATTAAAATAATTTATACATTCATACAAACACACACACACACACACACACA